AACAAGAAAGGTGAAAACTGCCTAGTCATTTTCTCCAGGTTAGATAAATGACTGTGATTATAAATAACTTCCTAATTTACAAGCAGCTCCTTGGAAATGTGACCATCATGAATCAAGGGGTGAGTTCACACTCAGCCAAGAGAACAAGGCCAGACAGGCTTTGGCAGCTGGAAGACCAGGCTGAGTGACTTGCACTCATGTTTACTGCTGTCTCAGGGAGAGCTCTGCAAGGTGACACCTGTGAGGTGTGTGTGGACTTTCTCCCATTGTAGATCAACGTGTCTGGCACTTTCTGAAAAGAAGAGCCTTGCTGGGAATTGCTCACAAGGAGCCCTCTGTTTAGACTCTCATCAATGGACTAAATGGGGCACAAGGAGAGACGGCTGGAGTTTAGCAGAGAACTAGATCACACAGGCACTGACTTGGTGGGAAATACATGATAGGGTGCAATGAAAAGCCGCACACAGTACAAACCAGAAATCTCATTACATGCATAAATTTATTACATGTAATAAATCCCATCATCACTGCAGACTGAAGCCATTTTTCTTTAGTTCTCCATATTTTTTAGATGGGAGCAGATAAGATGTAATGAAATAGTATGTTTTCTAACTGCTTTATGCCAAGGAGCTCAGAGTTAAGTGGTTGATAAGAAACAGCCATTCATTAGGCATCCCAGTTAAGTAAATCTGTGAGGGTCGGAGGAAGCAGATTCTTGGCAGCAGTGGCCAACTCAGTTATTGGGGTCTTGCTACCAGTATTTTCCTTTGTGAAATAAGATTCCCATGCGGATTCAGGGAAAAAGTGATAATGGAGTGCAACCAGTTGCCAGGACCTGCCAGAAGGAAGGGAAAGATATACAAATATGTGTGTGTTCGTATGACGTAGCTCTGTATTAGTTTTCTTCACATCACATATTAGCATCACTGTGCTTTAAAAGCCACTGCCCAGCTCCCACCCCACACCCCTCAGTTTCTAAGGACTTTTGTGTCACCTGCTGGAAAAGTGGAGAACTCTCCAGAGCTAATGACATGCTTACAGTGTTCACTCATGTGACATCTTGGCTAGAGATCCCACTTTGAATCTTCTTTCTCCTTGATTTTGAGCTCCTGTTTTGAGTTGAAGTAATTGTCCTCTTAATGCTTGGCCAGTGAAGCGTGCTTTAGAGTGTCTTGGTCTTGGTTCCTTAACAAGCACACCACCCCTCAGGCTTATAAGGTAGATGTTGTTTTCCTTTCTTTCCCTCCCTCTGTCCCAGCCAATGTGCAATAATTATGTAGAGTTATAATTATATGCCGAGTTAGTTCCTGTACTCATAAGCTGTGTGTGATAAGGGTTCAAGGCTTTGATCTCAACTGGGCAGGGATGGACTCTAGGAGAGAGTTCATCACTGAGCACCATAAGGGGGGACCTAATGCCATATACACAAAACTCTTGCTTTCTCTGGTCTTTGGCGGCAAGACCAATTTGGTTCTGAGAATACCCCTATGTGGGAAATTGTTATTTTGAGTTGACATTTCAATTTACCTGGCACTGTTCATGTGATCCAACAAAACATTAAATGAACAGAGTTATACCAGTAGGAATGATTCCTCTGCAAGTATGTGTCAGCATCAGAAGAGGTTTTAAGGCTTTCAAAGTGTATGGTATGATGGCAGTGATGCAGCGCCTAGGATCTTTGTGCCACACCTTGTGATCCTTGGACAATCCAGAGTCTTTCTGAACGTGTCTGAGGGTATCCAGAGCCTTTCTGCTGATTACACTGAGTCACAGTTCAAACTCTATATCCCCAGTGGGAGGGAGTGAATACAACTAGTTGCATGTGGAGTGAAGATAATTTAACTGCTAACATTGATTTGCTACATTTGAAATTAATATCATGGAGATCACAAAAGTCCTTGTCCTGGCATTTGGCCATGGAAACCACAGGGGATCAGCGGAAAAGGATGCTATTGACCATTTTTAATCATGGCTTTGTGTTATAGAGAATGAAATTTTTGCAGTCATGAAAAGCCACTGAACTTACACAAAGAAGCTCTGAAAGACAAGCTCAAAATTTTCCAGATATATGTGATCGCATGTTCTGACAAATTCAGAATAATGGTGTGTGTCTAAGAAAAACAATGCTATGCTCATTGTAAACCAGGGTGGATGGCTCTTGCACAGAGGGCACCCAGCAGGGATCACAGGTGGTTGGATGATTTTTGACTCAGACTTTTTAGGAGACCTTCATCAAAGCCACTTACACTAATTAATTTCTGGCAGGGATTGGTGTTTCTCATATGGAAGACATTTTTTGGCAGCATGTGATTATCATCACCTCTACACAGAATAAATGCAATTGGCTGATCTTCCCTTTCTCCAGCCTTTGTAGCCTGTTTTTCTGATTCCTGATTTAATCCACAGAGGGATCCAGTGAAAGTCAATATGCAACAGCGTGGCTTCTCAGAATGACTCAGAGTATTAGACCCTTTGCTTTTAAATGGAAATGGTTAATCCATGCAGAAAGGAGAGATATATATAGTGAAGACTTGTCACCCCTAGTTGTTGATTTGGCAAGGAAAAGCTTGTTGACCTCTCACTGTAATCTATTTTCACTACCTAATTTATGTACATTAAATAATGTGTCTTTTATATGAGTAATTACTGTTCACTTGTAGTTGCCTGTTAGGCATTTCTCCAACACAGAGGAAGGCTCATGCTTTGTTCTGAGCAATAAAGACCTGAAAAGACCGAACTGGGCACACACCAAGGATCAAAAATACAGACGTGATGCAGAGGCAGATGCAGCACCCTTGGGAAAGCTGCAAAACTAAGGTCACTGTGTGAGGCTCAGGAGTTACCTGATCACTTGGCACAGTGGGAAAGCTGCTAAGGATGAGCACAAAGTTCCTGCAGGCTGAGCACCATTGCTGTGTCTGCTGCTTGAGGGACCAGCGTACAAGATGCCAGCACTTGGGCATGCACAGTGTGTCGAGGAGGCAGAGACAGACCTAAGCTTTGTAGTACCACCAGCTCCATGAAGGGCCAGTGGAAATGGAAAGGAAGAGTGTTAAGTCTTACTGGCCATATTGGGCAGTTCTGTGCCTAAAGAAGTGTTAATTTAAATGGCTTGCTAATAATTTGGAATCAGCTAGCAGAGATTTGGATGCTTTCCAAAATCCATGTTCAAACACCAATCCATTTCTTTCCATGGAGAGAGGTACTTTCAGCCCAGAGTATGTAAGGGATTTATGTAGACAAATCATACCCCACATTGAAAAGATCCAATGAACTCTGCATTTCCAAAAATCAAGGCATTCCTTTTGATGTGGATAAGCAACACATTCAGAGGACTAACTTAACCTATGTCCCAAAGGCAAATTGAAGTATCAACTAAGCAGCAGGATGCTTAACTCCAGACCCAGGTGTTTCCTATCACATCTGCAAGTTGTTAATTACCCACTCATATAATTATTGCTACAGTCAGATGTAATATGGGATGTGCAGTGACGGTGTGCATGTACAGTACTGAGGTGGATGTCTTGGGGGTCTAGTTCTAAGAGCTGCAGGCAGGATGATCTCATGATGCTGAGATTATGAATTTACCAGTGCTGTGGAATCATCTGGTTGTGACAAGTCCAAATCAAACCACCACCTTGAGCTGGAAGGTGCACTGTATAGATGGCCTTGGTTATTATATATGCCAAATGTTGCAGAGAGCACTGGATGACAGGTCTCTTGTGCATCTCACAAGTATAGCATTTTGGTTTCTTGCAGCAGTGTGGGATTTCTGCAGGTGAAATGTACCCATTGTGTCCGCTCTCAAAAAGTTGCTCACAGGTTCTCCTAACACATGACCTGCATGACTGGCAGTCTGAGTGTATTCAGCCCTGAAGGTTATGAGAATAAACATGTTTTTTTCACATGTTTTGGGGTTTTGATATTCTTGGAGGGTGGTTATGAACTGCTACAGTCTGTGATGTAAAAAACAGACCTTACCTTTGGTCTGTCCATCCAGGGTACTGGAGGGATTCTCATGGGAGTGAATTTGAATGGCACAGGAAGACAGTTGGAGGACATTCCAGCATCCAACCCTACATTTGCAACAACCAGTGCATGTGTGTATGTGTGCATGGGTGTATGTACCTACAAATACAGGAATCATCTAACATCTCTTGATAGTGGCAAAAGAACCACAGTGCGTTTGCAATTGCATAATTATTACCTCCATGCATGAGTCCTGCCTCCAAAAGACATTGCATCAAGCCACTTATCTCATGCACTGATGTTGCCTTCATTGTGGTGGTTTTGGGCTTGTACTGATTCTTCTGTTGGCACAGATGTTCTCAAATAAGGTCTCCCATTTTGAGAGTGATTTGATCCATCTGGCTAACCTTACAAAGTCTGAGATCCTTATGCCTAACAATAGGCAGCCACCTTACCAGCTCACTACCTCCTACTTAGCCTTTCCTCCTCTGTCTGTGTCTGCTTCAGGACTGAGAAAAATAAAAATATCAGGTGGAACATCTTAGACACAATGTCTTCACGATGGCTTTATTGCTTGTTTTCAGTAGTGTCAAGCACAGAGACAAACCTCTTCTGATGCAAGGAGATGAACCAAATACAAAGGAAAAAAATAGCCAATTCATTGCATATGTACGAAGTCAGAACAAAATAAATAACATCAGGAAAAAGGCCATGAAACAAAGTGGAGAATTCATCTGTCCTGAGAAAGCAGGCCTGTTCTCATTGGCATGAAGAATACGTCACAAGCACCCAGGTACATAAAAGTCCACAGAGACAGGAATTCTCTGTTCACAGCCAGTTTTCATCACTCTTTGCTGTCAAAGCCTATCTACAGGAGGGCAGAGGTGCTTACAGATTGAGTCAGAAGAAAAGAGTCATATGGCACCAGCTACTGACCAGCTTGAGGTGTTTGAAAGAGAGTCTGAAAAATGCACTTTTAAATTCAACTGTCTTTTCAAACTTAATTTATGATCACCAGAGTATCAAAAATATTTTTTTTTTTTAAATGTGCTATTCAGATTTTCTTTACATACAAATTTACAATATCCACCAAATCTGGGTATAAAACACTAGTGCTCTGCTGATGCCTAATTGTGTGTCCTAAAGGCCTGGCCCTCAGAACCCAAATGTGCATTATTTCCCTTACAGACCTGTTATGTAGTTTCCAGTTCCAATGTTTGTCTTCCCTGTGATTTCACAGTATGCTAGAAATAACCAGGGTTTCAAACCCAAGGTTCTTCAGTATATAGCACACCACCACGCAAGCAGACAAGGATTTAGGATGTTCAGACAGTAGGAGGCGGGAGAGATTGTCAGTGGGCCCAGGAAACTCCTAATTCCTAAAAGCCACAGTTCATAACTGTACAGATCTCCAGGGGAAAAAACAAGATCAATCATTGTAATATACCTCATCAGACTGGTAAGCAAATACGGGGTTTGGAGACAGGGTGAAAAGTTGACTGACTAAAAGAAAGTGGATTGAAATTCATGCTGTTGTGGATTTTGGGATATCTGACTCATTGTACCAGTTTGGGACTTAATTATTTTCCCTATTACATCAGTTTAGCTCCAGAATGCTACCAGCAGAGTCATTCCAGATTGATATGGATATATACGAGGCCACGAGATTGGCGTCCTGCTCCTGAAGGGTCATCTACAAGCATTATGGTCCTGGCCACCATAAGCACTGGGGTGTGACAAGTGGAGAGTTGCAAGACAGGGAGCTCAGGACTGCAGTTCTTGTCACCAAGAGTTTGGCACATTCATTAGTGCAGAGATAGCTCAGGAAGAAGTACAGGGCTGCGTCAACACTCCAGTCAAGATCCTTTCTTCAGCTAAATGCCCCACTGAAAGCAGAGAGGCTGAGGCACAGCAGGGCAGAAGCATGTCCTACATGGGCTTTGTTGTTAAACCTAGATTCACTTTCCAGAGAAGAACCACTGTTTCTCAGTCTCCTTGCTTCTGATATCACGTTGGATTTCCACAGGCCATTTATCAAACCAAGTTGAACTTGTGCAGACAGAATAAAGTAAGCTTCACAAGGTCACATACCGGCATATACAACTTTCCTTTTAGTCTGCAAATATTTCATGTTTTCTGCAGAAACCCACTGGGTTTTGCCTTGTTTAAACACTGTAAAGGTGGCAGGAATGGAGACAAAATAATCCCACCAAACGCCTTTAATCCCTGCCATAGAGAGAAGTGATATTCACTCCAAAGCTTTCTTTGGAACCTCATTTTTCTTTATAAAAAACACTGCCAGTCTTTGATTAATCAGTAGGTGCATCTCTCTTTGAAAGTATTTCCATCAGACTGGAGCAGAGATTTGTTTTTAAGTCCTTTGCTCGCATAGCCCTGTGACACAGACACCACCCTGCCTCATGGCTTCTGAGCTGAACAGCGATCAAGTGGGATATTGAGAAAGAAGTAAATCTGCTGATTAGTTAATGCACAAAACATTTTTCTCCAGTAACAGCTTCCTTGAGAAAAAATATAACTCCTTCTTAGGGGAAAAAAAAAAAAAAGTATAAACCAATTCAGATGTTTTACCTTCCAGGCTTTTTTGGGATCCCTTTTTCATTCCATAACTACAGTAACAATGCTGCTGCATATATGCCTCTGATTTTAAAAACTAGTTGTAAGTTAATGCCCTGAAATTCTTCAACAGCCTAGAATTTCATTACTGCTCTTTTTTAAACCCTAAACATGGTCACATTCTCATTTCTTGCTGCTTATGAGAGGGCCACAGAGCACTGTAAGTCCCAACTGAATAGAAGTATCTATAGTCTAACGTTTGTATTGAACCTTGTACCTCTAGACCTTCAGAAAATAATCTAATTTTTATATGTTAATAGTTTCATACATTAATAATTGTTTAACAGTTTAATCACTGAAATACAGTGACTAATTAACAGGAGGGGTTTAATGTCTCACTGGTATAAAAAAGGGAGTACACTGGTATAAAAAGGGGAGTAAACAGTTCTAGGCTGAAGATAAAGGAATTATTCTAAAGGCAAATTCCAGTTTCATGCTGGTGCAATTCAGAAGTCACTGAAGTGAAGATTGGTGCGAACAGGATCAGAATTTTTGTATAGAGTTTTGGAATCTTAATTCATGATCCTCAAACTTATCTAAAAGCCTAACACATCCAGGTATGCTATTCAATCTTGCCTTGCAGAAAATTAACACAGTTGCCTTCACTGGGGTAATTCCTGCCTTACAGAAGGGGCAAGGGGCTCAGACTGATGCTTTGTGAGCAACAGCATCAGTCCTGAGTGCTGCATGGTGTATTCAGCATGGGTTGAGGACAACTCAGTCTGGATTGTTGTTTGGAGTTGTGGTGAAGTCCTTGAACTCCATTTTACTGATGAGTGTATGACAACTAGAGTAGAGGAGGCCATTATTGGGTCAAATTCCTGCACTAAGCCACTTAAACAAGGGCCTGATCCGAATGTCATCATTCACTTGATTGCTCATATCCCCAGAGTGAAAAGCTCTGATTTCACCACTGACGACTCTGTTCTCTGAAAATATGAGGCCAATGCAGCTGGTCTGGCAGCTTTTCACTGCCTGCATCACTAATACTGCCATGCCTGTCACTGCAGGTATATTCAACACATTCACTTAATCTTCCAAAACCCCTTGACAGTATAATGGCAGTGTGGCTGCCTGTTCTGTGAAGAAATAATTGCAAGTAGGGTGCCTGGGGCACTGTTCCTGACATGCTAATGTACTCAACATTTTATCAAGGAGCTCCTCAGTTTAAGTCACATCTTCAGGCTCCCATGCGGAATAGTCTGGTGGTACATCTCAAGGACTGCAGAAGGCCCTGTGGCATCAGTAAATAACCAGCTAAATTTTTCCCTGTCATGTCTCCAAAAGGCAAGCCCATTCCTGCTGCCTTTGGCATATGGTTAATGCTGGCACAGGTCAGCACAGGGCTGACATGGAAAAGAAGCTGTAAATACAAAGCAGAAGGTCCGCCTTGCAAATAGAGTTACAAGCACGGAGTGAGGAAAAGGAGGGTGAAGAACAAGAGTGAAAATGCACAGGGTTTCTCACTGCTCATGGCTCACAGACATGGATCTTCTACCCCAGAAAAGCTGCCTAAAGCAGATGGGAAGGGCTTCCCTTACATCTCATAAACGAGGTTGTTGGCATTGGTGTTCCACTTATGCTCAACAGCTCTGTGCTCAAACTTCCCCTTTGCTTGTCTGGGACCTGGGACTTAAGTTCATACCTTAGGCACCTCAGTGCTCCTCTGCAGCCTACCAATTTTGTTGGGCATAAACAGCTATCATGATAGATAAGGAGGGTGAACGACTTTGCAGTCTGATGAATCAAATCTTTCCTAGACTGACGTTGCTTCCAAACTGAACTGGTGAGACGAAGCATTTTACACCAAGTGGAACAACTTGGGAAGCTGAGAGAGAGCTTTCCCTCACTTCCTCTGGGGTTCCCTTGCCACTAGCCATTCACCTGGTAAAATGCAGACCTAGGTCACAAATGCTTGCTTTGAATCTGGCATAGAAGAATTGGTGGGACTTCTCCAGCATCTCTGTGGGAGTCCTAATCCAGATCTGAAAGCACTCACCAGAGCAGCACCAGCACTAAACAAGAAGAGGGCCCTTGCCTCTGAGAACCTCACAGAGATTTCAATGGGGACCTTGTTCCTGCGGTATCAGGGTAGAAGGGCTGAAGTGCAAGCAACATGGGGAAATTTTAAGTATCCTCTTGGTTTCTCTGGATTTTGGGAATTAGAGAGATGCTAAAAGAGGATTTTGATGATCATATGGCATGTCAGTGTTGGATTCTAACTGTTAACGATATGGTTTATGTGTAATGTAGCCATAACAAAGATGGCTTGCACCTGTCTAGCCTGGGGTCTTGTCAAGAGTTTAATTCCAGGACCATGGAGCTGATTATTACTATCTTCACAATATCTACCTATCCTCTTACGTTTAGCAGTCTGGATAGCCATGGCTACACCATGACAGCATATGAGCTAGCTCACTGAAAACTCATGGTTGCATGTCTACCCTTCACGGCAGTTATGTCAGAGTATCTCATACCCTTTACTGACTTCAGTCCTCTATGCTGTTCTCAGTCTCACATGTGGAGAAATACTGTGGAAGCATCAAGCTCAGACGATAATAGCTATACCTCTGGGCACGTGTAACAACTGCCCACTCAGAGCTGAGAAAAGAACTGCATGTCCAGACCTGCAACTCTCCTTGGCAGTGAATCACAGATGATTAAGGCAAGCAAAGAAGCAAGACAAACCCCAAACCCACCAATCTAAAGATGAACTACATTTCATTATGGAGAAAAAGAAATCCAGATGCTGCTAGCACCTGGTAGATAAGTTGAGATCTCTAAACTCTGAAAGAGAAGTCAACCTTCCTTTCTACATACATGCACTGGTGACCAAGACTCTCTTTCACAAGGACATGTTATAGTAAGATGAAAGCAGCCCAATTAATTGTTAAGTGCACACATGGGTTGGGCAGAGATTTCTCACCCCCAGTGCAAAATTTAGGCAACCCCATTTGATATGGTTGGGTGGGATAAAAACACAAGCATCCACACCTTTGTGTTGTCTATCTTCTGACTGAGTTTGGGATTGTGGGGATGGTCTCAAAAGCAGTGTCTGGGAGCATGAGCTGCGTGTGATACCCTGTGAGCTGCCAGCCTGGCATGTGTGAGCAGGATTTGGTTTCACCCCTCTCCTACACCCCTACACCAAGAAAAGAAAAAAAAACCTATTTCCTTGGTTTTAACAGGATCCATGTGTGTTCTTCAAATAGGGATTGCCCCTATATGAAAACAAATAGGCCTTCAGAAAAGAGGTAAAACACACATGCACACCTTAAAGATCTAACAATGCCTTCATCATAGAATGAAAGCTCCCCACAAAAGCTGAAGAAGAAATCAATTTAATAGCTCCTTCACTCCATCCTGACTCCTGGAGTGCCAGTTACCATGCTGAAACAACTTTGTTCTGATGAAAGCAACTTTGCTTGCTGCTGTGACACTAGTTTCTTTTAATCTGGAGAGTGGCTCCTTATGGCAGGTCTGATTCAATTAAGGATTACAGAATTCTACATCTCCCTTTCCTGGCAGTGTGTACTAAGCAAATGCAAATGAATTACAGACCAATTGTTTTGCCTCGATCCCTAATGATCCTGGGTGTGTTAATTCACCGAGATCTATGGGCAAACTTAGAAAGAATGAAAAACATAGCCGGCTCTGCTTTTGGCTTCTGTACCTGTTTTTTATACATGCAAATCGAGTTTCCTGTTCATTGAAAACAACAAAACAAAACACAATGTCATGAGCATAGTGCAGAGAAGGGCATCCATGCTGCTCCTTCTCAGCCACCTGCTTTTCCAGAGGGCACCAAGGGTGCTTGGAAAGCTTTTGCTAACAAGGATGGTGGGCAATCAGCAGAACACACTGCAGCAGTGGGGCATCCTCCGAGGGGCTTTCCTGGTACTGCAGCTTCATCTTCACACGTGTCAAACACAGAGGCAGGGGCCATTCTGTTCATGTTCCTCCGGTCCCTTCTCCCCATGTCCCCAAGTCCGTCTTCAGTGCCTTATCACAACCTCTTATCAATGTGACTTTGGGCACATATGTTTGGCATTTTTTTTCCCGGCTTCTTGCCTACCTCTCTCCTTTACTGGCTCATTTCTTTAAAAAGTGCAATTTATCTGTTTCAGAGATGCCGGTTCTGGTAAAGCCACCAAGGACTCAGGATCTCCCCTCCCTTACCCCCCATACTTCATTATTTATGACATATCCGGATCTCACAGGCTCTCCTCAAGTGACTGGGACCTTTACTCATAGTTATCAGCCCCTGAGGGTTTGAAACTTAAGAGTGAAAGTTCTGAAAAGAGGGAGAGGAAAAGTTCTTCTCTGCCTCTTGGCTTGTCTATTCTTGTTCTGCATGCCAGTGGCTTTTCCAGTTTTGTGTCCTCTGTTGGCTCATGCAGAGCATGTCATTTCACAAGGAATTGTCATCATATCACTGATTCCTGGGGATCCCTCTGTCTCTCGGTTTCTCTCTTGGATGCTCAGTGCTTGGAGAGCCTCTCCCCATCACACCAGAGAGAATTCAGCCTGGAAGCCAGAGCACCGGCGTGTCTTTGGTGAGCATTTGGTCAGCATGGAGATCTGGGTGCTGAAGTTGGTGCCATTGCTGCCTAAGGAAGGGTGGTGATACTTCATGTCTGAGCCCAGGAACCGCTCCAGATGCCACCTCCGCCATTTTCGCTTGAGCTCAGCCTGGACCTAGGCAGTGGAAAGACAAGCAAGTCAGCAGAGGGGAGTATTTTCTATTGTTCTGATTTGATTGTGTGAGCAACTTGGCCACCTACCAAGGGGCCAAGAATTATTTTATAAAAGCCACTAAACTCAACTTGTCCAGATCTTTAAACCACACAGAAGAGAGGTGACACTCCAGACAGTAAACTACTAGAGCAGAAATCCCTGAGCTTCAGCAGAAAGGTGAGCACAGGGCATTTCTTATCTGATACCCTGAAGGTGGCAGACAACATTAATGGCAATACATTCTACACTGTGTGAGTATAATTAAGATTTTTTTTTCACTGCGCTGCTTTTGTCCAAATACAAATGATTTAACTATAGCTTGTTTGTAAAGCTGTCAATACAGCTGTGCTTTTTTAATAGAAGCTACTTGTTCCTGCTCAGGGAGTTTACAGACATCATCTGGCTTACACTGTCCAGATTCAAACCATGAACAAATCTGGCCACCATCCCTGTCCCCTCCTGCAGCCTTCCAGTCCAAACTTTTAGATAACAGTATGAATTAGACAAAACAGCTGTGTGTGAGGGTCTCTGGGATCAGTCAGCACAGGAACAGTACAATATGAGGATGCAAACCCCAGGACTGGAAACATGGGAAAGGCAAGATCAATGCCTGTAAGGTAGAAACAAGTTCACCTGGCACTGGTCTGTGTCTAAGAAGTCATGTCAATGCCTATATTGGTTTTGGATCATTAATGAGTTTGTGGGGTACTGCCCTGCTTCACACAGGCCTATTGGCAAAGGTCTCTGCTGGAGCTGGCCTATGTTCCTCGCGTATCTTTGCATGATGGTACACATGGCATCAGCACGGCTGAAAGCAGCACCAGAGCTGTAAGAGAGCAAACTGTGATTCTGGACTAGAAAGCTGGAATACAAACACAGATCACAGCTGCTTCTTTCTTGTCTATGGTCAGTTTATTGAGCTGGATTGATATGGATTTAATCAGTCTCTGCTGAATTTCTTATGGTCAGATGGAGCATGGTACAAAAATATCACTGCACTAACAAGCCTCCATCTTGGCAGTAGGCCTGATTCTGTGGAGGATTCATTGAGGAGCTAAGCATGAATAGGGCTTAGAAGATGGGCTTTATCCTGCTGAAGTGGTCCTTTTGGATCAGGGTTTATGCGAGATCATATGGGAGTTTGCTGATGCTGTCTCATGAGAGACTAAGCAGCAGCAATACTACAGTGCACACGAAGTTCTAATGTGTTTATTAATTGTGCTGGAAACTGTCAAGAAAATGGTTGTTTTTCTGGAGTGAGCAATTCAACTTGGATGCTTCCCCCCAGTATGGTAACATCAGGAACGGGACATTTCTCAATCCACTCTCTACAAGCATTCAATTCGCCTTAGCTGCAAACATTAACCAAAGAATACTGTTGATCTTACCTCCCCATTGAGAAAACAGTACAGAACAGCCACCACAAATCCCTAGAGGAAAGTACAGAACAGGCTTTTAGCACCTCTCAAACTCACTGCAGTCTCAGAGAAAGGGCACACTGCTGGGGAAGTAGTGCCCCTTAGAAACCACTTGATTGCATTTTCCCCATAAAAGGAGTAGGGGAAGATTGGTTAAGGTATTTTGCAGCAGATGTATTGGTGTGAGTTCAGAGATTGCTCCAGACTTGTGGTTAAAGACATCAGGAGTCAGTTCAGCTCTAAGGGTCACTTGGTCAATCGAACAGGAGCATTAAAGGCAACTGGAAGGGATACTAGACCCAACTCTCCTGCTTGGTCTTGTCAGCAGAAACTGGAGAAATCTAAACATGCTCACTAGTACATCATCAAGGTCAGAAAGATCTTAGACATGGTATGGGGCTAAATGGTTCTTTTTCCGTCTTCCCTGCAGTGACACCTCATTTTTGAGAATCTCAGCTTCCACTGAAAAAATTAAAAAACCCCTTCTGTCTAGCACTTATGGTTGCAAACACTAAAGACAAGGAGTGAATGTAGATCCATTTATCTCTCAAAGGAGAGATGCCAGATGTGAAGTGATGATGATGTAGACAGAGACGTTATCTCAGTCACCACTGAACAAAGCATGCCACTGACACATGTATGCTACATGGTGTCAGACAAATCCTGCTTGCTGGCTGTGAGGACACAAAGTGACTAGAGATGATAAATGGGTGGATGCAATGGGGCAAAATACATAAATAAATGCTTCTTTTCATGCAACAGCAGGGCCAAGGTTAACAGTCCATCACTGGAACTGACTGAGTGAAGCATGAGGGAGGGTCTAAGAAGCAAACTTCATCAGGGCTTCCTAAAGATTAATGCGGAGGATAGCCCCATTATCCATTCTCGCGGGGAACCTGTCTCCTATGCAGGATCTACAGGCAGGACTTGGCTTATTAACAGAGGAGAAAGTTCATGAAAATCAACTGGTTGAAGACAGACTAGGATCCTGTTAATGGCCAGAAAGACACTCCTCTCCAGGTCATTTATCTCATCTCACACCATGTCAATAATATATAAAGTGAACTGAGGTGCTCATTTTTATCTCTTTCGTACAAAAAACCCCAGGGTGACTAACTTACAGAGGTACATTTTCTTTTCCGGTGCCTAAAATAAGGAGAGAAAATCTTCTGGAATTCCAGGAGGCAAACCACAAAATTATCTTCCATCCTGGCCAAGCTGGAGTGAATAGCTTTTTCCCTCAAGGTATAAAAGTATTGGGCATGTCTGGGAAAATCCCAGCTCCTGTGTTTGCTTATTCCCTTGTCAAGCTTGTTATACTCCCCGCAGACAGACCTGGTGACTGACTGGTGGACCAAAGGGTGGCTTACCTGGAACGACCCAACCACGAGCTCAAAGACCAGCTTAACTTCTGCTTTGAAATTGTCAGGGAAGAAAGCAAACATGATGTAGTGAATGCCAAAGAGAGGGATCAGCAGCAAGGTGGACTTGGCCAGCCTCCTGTTGGAAAGACAAACATAAGGGGAGGGGGAAGAGGAGCTAAAGGGTTGGCTGATGAGAAACCCTGCATCTGAGCCCTACGCAACCCCAAAACGTTAATTTGCTGCAGTATGTATTTGCTGGTTACCTGGATCGTGATGGTGTAGCCCATATCATGCATGTTACATGACTTTGCTTGCCCTTAGGAGATGTGGTATAGGGCACTTACCCTGACGTCCTAGGAACATCCAGACTTTCAACAGCAGCCTTGAGCGAGGCGCGAAGCAGCATCAGGAGGCTGCCCTCGCCCAGAGGGAAGAAGTCTCTGGGGTACAGTGAAATGGAGGGTGTTGAGATAGCTCCTGACAGCCTCAGCTCCCCAGGATCTCTCTGATGACCTCAACTGGGATGCAATGACCTGTGGGGGTGGACCCTCAGCTGGGCACAGTCACGTGGAGGCAGTTCAAACTAAGCAAGGACCATGCTGGGAGCATTTCCATAGGCTTAGTTTCCTCCTTATTAACAGTTCTCATATAAATATATACGTGCTTCCAGCTAAGGCAGAGTGATCAGCCCTAGATTATTTTTCCTTGGCTCATGGACTGCAGATGGTTGGTGATTTCAGATGTGGTGACAACATAAAATGTGACATCTTTACTCTTAATAACTTCAATGGAGGTATTTCTTTCTTGCTTCTCTCTTCTCCCCCTCCCACTGGAGACCTTTTTTCATCTCCACAAGCTAAATCATCATCTAGCACTGTCCTTGTTTGCTTAGGATTTCTGAAAATGACAGCTTCTAGGAGAGAAATGGTATGTTTAGCTCAAAATAATGACAGGCTATTGCACAGTTAATATCTCCAAAGGAGGGGGGATGAACAGTATTAGTGCTTAATGGCATCAGGGTGGGTAATCAGAGGTTGAATTAGGAAGATATGATAATTTATTAAATATAATCATTATTAAAATATAACTGACAGAAGTAAAATTAAATCAAGGGCCTAAGGATGCTTATGGGGGTTTTAGCTCTCTTGGTCAATCACATCCTCCTATGTCCCTCTCCCAGAAGCTTCTGGAGGAATTGAAGCTATATCTGGGATGTTGGAAATACTTGTTCTTCCATCTGCAAGCCCTTCATCCCCAAAGTCTCATCAGGCTCAGTCCCCTCAGACCATCTTCGTTTATTTTGCCATCTGTATAAGCCCACTGGGAAGGCTGCTGTGCCAGCTTTATGCAGATGATGTTCATCACTATATCTCCCAACAGACCCTTCCAGCTTTCCTGGGGCCTGGCCCAAAGGCAGCTTGACATTAAGGCTGTGGTTGGAGGCTGTGGTTCTCTGGGGAATACCTGCTGGCTGAAAGACGGATGGGTGCAACTCATTCCAGGCAAAACAAGGGCCTGCAGGAAGCTGAGGAACTTTCCAGGAATTTGCCTTGCCTACCACATTTCTCACTAGCAGGCACATCCCTGCTTATAGTGAGTAGATCCAAAATCTGAGTCTTCTGGGATGTCTTGCTCTGCCAGAGGACTGTCACTGTCATTCGCGACCATCAGGGTACCACGTTCCTTGTTCTTAGAAGCAGTTCTGGCCAGTGTGACTCACAGTAGCATGACCCAGCCCTAACTGACCCAGCTCCTGACATATGAGAGAGCAATTAATTTTCTAAGCAGATCAGAGTTCAGTGAATATCAATACCGGCTTTGCAGAGATCTCTCCTCTGTCCCCAGTCTTTCAGGAGCAGGAGAGGAGATCGGTGTGATGCTACCTTTGTGTAACATATTAATAGAGACAGTGTTTGCAATCTCTAACTGATTAGAAAATCAGGGCCTCGGTTATAGCACTTCTCCTCCTGGTTGGACTGCGGCAATGAAGAGGGCATAAATGCCAGACATTAGGAGCCCCCTCCTCCAGTTTGCACAGCACCCCAAACCAGCCTCTTGCTCCCAGCACTGAGCTTCCCCAGAATACTGACATTTTAGATCTCAGTTTGACTTCAAGGCAAGGGCCATATGGTCTAGCCCTGTGATATTTAAAAGACTCCCCCCCCGCCCCCCTCTAAACATTGCAGTCTTCCCTAGTCATGGTGTAATTTCTCCCAGGAAGCTAAAGCCTGTCTGTGCAGGAGCCAGAACTGCTTGGGAGATTGTCTAAAGCTGGTTAAAACTACCTGCTGGAAGCCTTGGCTTCTCCAAAATCTCTTTATTTCCACTCCCACAGAGTGCACTTCTTATACCTACCCTCTCTGACAGATACACATGGTGACAGGTAGTTTAGGGAAAACACATCTTCACCAGCCTGCACTGAACCTGCTTCTCTCCTTGGGAGTGAATAAGAGTGAACCAACATTTCAGTCACGCTTATTGAATGCATAATGGAAAAGTTACCCAGAAAACTTTGATGACAGTATTGATCTATGAACATGTACAGAATAGAAAGACATGAATTTTGCACAAGATTTCTGTTGCAGAAAACTTCTATTTGCCTGAACTATTTCTGTCTCATTCTTGCACACGCCTCTCTCATTTCCAGAAAACTGTTTTGGGAGACTTTTTCACAGTTTTCAAGATATTAAAGCCCAGTTCACTGTAGCGTTAATGAGTGAGTCAGCAGCGCACCTGAACTTCCAGCCTGCAGCTAAACTGAAACCCGTTGGGATTGAATAATACTATCAACGTGTTATTTTTTTAATAAAACAAATAATATAAAATAAACAAGAGAAGGAGGGAGAAATGCAAATGAGGGATCCCTGATACTGTTAGTTTAAAATATTTATCTCAGATTTGGCAGTAGCAACCCATACATATCATTAGCAGCAGGTTTTTTTTGCCAAGATCTCTTTGGTCCTGGAGGCAAAACCCCTGAAGCTAGCAGAAGTATTTCAGGTAATAAGAGAATGATATATAAAAGAATCCAGGAACCTACAATTACAGATCACATGCTTAATGTCATTTATAAAAGGGTCTGGACCCCAGATGTCTCTACCGATAGCTGTCTAACCATTAAAAACTTAGTACCACACTGAGAACTCCCCTTGGTGGGATCCAGCCTTCAAGCTGGGACACAATGTTCTTGTCCGTATAAAGCGTGGTGTCGCATGTCTCACTGCAGTCACTACAGTCAGTGGAGATTTCCAGATGCCCCAGAGAATCTGGCTGGTGGCCAGCTGCCACTGCATAACAGTACAAGTCTCCCATAGGTCCTGGGTCCTGTGTGCCAGGTCCAGCAAGTATCTCAAATGTTCTAAAGCATCTTATATGCCTTGGACACCCTTAAGTGAGCAACTGATTCATGCCCTAATGGAAATGAGATGTTTTTCCATGTGGAGAAGAAAGGAGAGGAGCTGCAGATGAGATTATTTGTACTTCAGCGCTACCTCCCTGTTTGTCAGGGCAATAGGGGGAAGTCCATGTTACTGCGTGGTTGTTTTACATTTGTTTACAAGGCAAAGACAACTTCCCTGGCAGCTCCTGCTTCACTGGAAAATGTTAAATAAAAATCCCTAAACCCAAAGCTCAGCATGATCTTTGAGGTAATCTGGGCCTAACCCTTACGATGTGTGTTGGCAGCACTTCTGCTGAGATGAATGGGCTCCAGGCTGAAGCTTAGTACTAGAACATATTTCAATATGCTGATTTAATCTATGTACCTGGCCAAAGGTGTTGCAATCCTGGGGGTAAAAAGTTACAATGCCCAACTGGAAACATATAAAGGGAGGTGACAGAAGGGGTCTGGTAATGTTGGTGTGTTATGATGACAGAAAAAGGTAATTGGCTTCGATTGTTGCAGGGAGGAGTTAAGGTCAAATACTGAAATTTCCTTTCATAAATCCGAGAATCTCTTGAGGCAGATGAAATGCATAATTTACCATCACTAGATAGAAAGACTCAGAGCCATGGCTGGTCAGTGTTTTAGGACCATATCGATATTGTCTTCTATTTTGCAGAAGGATGAACTGAGTTCAGATTCTTCAGGGTACCTAAATGCACTGCTCCCTCCAAAGACTTAAGAGCAACAAAGATTTAAGCACAGTGACCATGTAGACACTGGACTTTTTCCTTTTCTGTTCTTTTCTAGTAATCATTTAATAAATATCTAGGCTAGTTGAAGTGCTGAGCCAGGACAGTGGCAAGAGTCAAAACCAAGCCAGTCTGAACTTTTGTTTTATTTGCATTGAAGCCAGAATAAATCCATGCAGACAGGCAGATTTCTTGTACTCTTAGAATACTGCAATTAAGACCAGTCTTGGCCACTGAGAGAGATACTGATCTCACTTGCATGTTGTTCATTATAAAAATCACCATTCAGGTCAGCCTTATATCCCTGAAATAAAAGCATTACATCAAACAAAACCTTTGAGAGTGCTACTTCTCAACAGTGAATAGAAATGCATTGAATTAATCCAATCTAATTTAGCAGTCTGCTTTAGGATAAGGAGAATTTGCCATAGATTCTATCAAATGTACTAATTTTGTAGATCTCTCCTCCTTTGAAAAAGGAAGTTGAGGGTAACTAGTTCAGAAAAGAAAGCCTGTACACTGTGGACAGCTACTCTTTATTATCAGGGTCCCTCTGCCTTCAGAATCAAATAAATATTGAATATACAAAGGAAAAGTAATTTTTGTTTCATGATCATTATTGCTGCTCTCATTTATTCATCACTAATCCCAGGAGAAAGTTTTCTCACCTGTCTGATCAAACTGATGTAAAACATGTCCAGCCATTTAAGCAAATGCCCAATTTCCTGATTTCTGATCGGCTTTAATTGATTAACATACTTGATTCTGATCAGTGCAGACAGACGAAATAATGAACTAGTAGCCAAACAGGTTTCCCAAAAATCATACAACACAGTTGAAAAAGTCTGGGACTTACGAATATTGGCTGGTTTCATTGTGTCCAACATCTGGAGAATGCAACTTTTGGACTAAGATACGGATGATGCAGATGAAGAGAATAAAGTTCACCTGTTGGGTTGGGGAGAAAGGAAACAGAGAAAGAATTAAAAAAATTAGTATTTTTCTCTGGTGAAAAGAGCTGATCATTATAGGTTAATTCCTTTCACTGCAATATTTTTGCCATGGAGCAAGCTGTTAAAAAGCCATGAACAGAGAACCCCATTCTGGGAGCACACAGTAAACCAACACAGGATGGCAGCCATCTTGGGCCTGACATCAGCCTGCTTGGGACTTTGTGTCATACATCCCAAGTATGATGATGTCAAACCCATAGAGCACAGCTATGCACGACGTCCTGCTGTGTGGGGGGGTGCCGACGACAGGGTGGGAAAAGAGCCTTGGGAGTTAGCAGAGTGACGGATGCCAATGCCCTCAGGAGATGGTGACATGGACCAGCTGCTGAGCATGTCAAAGACCAAGGCAGTGAGCCAGGGAAACCAAACCAAAACACAAAGCAGTACCCACTCCAGCAGGCCTCTACTCAATGCTATTTGGCACGTCTTCTCTGTAGAGAAGCTGGAGACCTTGTATAGCAAGGGACAGACCTCACTGATGCAGCAGAAAACATTCTCTACTAGGATGTTAGACCAGGGGAGTCTAGCTAGTGCCTAGATTTTAGATGGTGCTTGTCACTCAAAAAATCTCAAAGTGCTCCACCAACACACTCAAGCAATGTTAACCTTATTTAATAGCAAAGGCGTAGAGATAGGAATGGCAATTTCCTAAGTAGATGGCATGAGTTGAATGCAAATCTACTCGCTTTTAAGGTGCTATCCATTGAATTACGCTGTTATTCATGCAACACATATGACACAAAAGTGATGACAGATTTCTGTGGACTTAGTTTAGTTTTAGTTTGGCACACAACCTCCTTTCACGGTTAGTGAATGCACAAATGATTCTGATTTTTAGAGACTCAAAGCTGCAAGGGATTGTGTGAACCAGTCAATATGATTTCCTGCAAAAACAGATTGTGAAATTTCCTCCAGCAATTCCTACATTTATCTCAACAACAGGTGAATAAAGTAGACTGAAGCACATCTCTCAGACACTCTTTATTTTCAAAAGTTAGGTGATAGGAAATTAATTGTATTTCTTGGTTATGATGCATCTCTTAATCACTTTTTATCTACCCCATGCCATTTATCATAGTTTCTGTTCACAGTTATTTGCTTATAAAAATGGTTTGCCTCTGACTTGGTGGCAAGTGAAATTTATCAGTTCAAACCAGTATCGTCTAGATGAATTACTCTAATGAGCATTGATAGCACACAAGCTGCTGCACTAAAGGTAAGACTGGAGCAGTTAAATACTGACTGTTGGCTCCTAGTGATCAAGATCAAACATGAACACAGGACAGTGATGAATCAGGTGGAGTATGACTTATAGACAGTATAGTCTCAGCATTGCATGGTAGAAGATGTGGCTGTGAGCCTACTGGAGAAGGTGTTTAGTTTATTTTTCAGCCTAGAGTATATTCAAAAGCACTGGATCTGTCCCCAGTGCTTAATATTTTATATATCTTATATATGTATTTCTTCCTTCCATTGAGATCTATGCTTTATTTCCACGGACATGGAGAAAATGTTGCATTCCTCCCAGAAGAAACCTGTTGTTTAACAGGCAGCAGTTATCATACCCTTCCTTTGTGCCAGATTTGTATGATATCTACAGAAGGAAAATCAGAAATTGCTGGGTAAATTTTGTTTGGCAATGAGGAAATATATTGGCCAAAAGAAAATAGAGACTCATTGATCTGAGGAGAACAGAGTGTATTTCTTTAACAAAAGGTTATCTTGGGAAAGGGAAATACTGTCTGTAGCTTTATATGATGATATAAATATTTTGAGATGTGTCATCTAAGTATTGTATTTCTTTTCAGTGAGGTGAATAGAGTAAGATGTAATTATTCAAACTGTTTCAGTCTGAAATCTCTGCATGAAAAATGCTACAGAAAAGTCTTCCTGTAAAGGTCATAATGTACATGGAATAAGAAGAATGTATGCCTAAGAAAAGATTTCTGTTTAAAAGAGATATATTTGGTTTGATTTCTGTTGCATTCTTTTTCTTCCATTCCCACATACTTGCCTTCATTTAAGAAAACTCAAAGCTAAGTTTAACTCAAGTTTATTCGATTTCAAGTCTTGGCTTGATATCTGACAGTGGAAACATGTAATATTCAACAAGGATGGAAGGATTCAGAGTTCCTCAGAAGTGTCATGCTTTCTGTGGTTAGAATTGATCATATCCAGAGAAGTAAGAAGGCAAACACTTCTGTTGATTTATCTGGAAATTAGCCAGGCTTCTCAAGAACTTACTTTCAGATTTTAACTTTGCATTAGATGCTATAATCTGGGGGAATTAATCTAACCTCTTTGTATCTAGGTAGAAATTTATGGTAGGACTCATTCCATTTTATGTTATAGTATTGGCATCTACAACTGAACAAATCATCCTGGGATCTATCAGCTCAGAGAAACAAAAGCATTAATGGAACAATTAATCTGATTGAATTTAGACATCCACTGATTCATTAGACAAGATGAGCCTTTCCTGGATCTCTAACCATGTTCCTCAACCTCTTCTGGCTAAACACACCCATGGCTACTGGATCAGAGTGTTCAGGGCATCTAGCTGAGATGGAGGTGGTCAGAGTTAAATCAAATGAACTCCACCTTGGTTGTTCAGACACTCAAGTTCTTCCCATGTTCAATGCTTAAAGGTAAAGATGTTTATCCAGGGGGTGAACTTTCTCATCCTAAAAACAGACATTCAGTATACAGTGAGATTTTATCTGTCAATGCATTTTCCATGGACATTTACAGAACACTTCTCAACACCCCTTCACCCCCCACACTTAGTATTAAAGATGGCTTTGCAGCCAGCAGAATGTGCTGATACTTTACCAAAATAGACACCAAAATAGGAGTTTTAATGATCCACCAGAATGGGGATTCCACTATTTCCTCCCAGCACCTAAAAAGAAACAAAACCAGACTTAAAACATCTATCAAAGCAAACAAGCAGCTTCTCAGATGCTTGGTTTCCCTGAATGCTAAAGATGGCTGCGCTAGGTTATATGAAGAGGACTAAATCTGGTGTGCATGAACTGGGAAGGGCTGAAGACTTGCTTTGCAGTGTCTTTGAGCACTGGTAGGTAGCAGTTGCCCCAGATGTAATGCTGTGGGCTCTCTTCCCATTGGTAATGGAATGGGCTGCAGGATGTTATCCAGGGTTAATGTGTGGGAGGATGGTGAGTTACTTGTTTATCCTACACTGACGTCTGCTACAAGGATCAAAACCCACACATTCTTGAGGTATCCCATGCCATCCACCATCATGGATGGGGTTTTGCTAAACATGGAGCAATTGGGACCACCAGAAAAAAAAACAAAACCCACATGCCCTTCTGAAAAAGATGACAGCCTATGGTGGGATTAGTCAGACTTCACGTAGCTAGCTGCATGTGAGCTATAGATCTAGTCAGATTAAGTCCATAGGGTCCAGGGTGTGATATATTTAATCCTGAAGTCAGAATTGTTTGCAAACCACACCACTCACATATGTCACCTGGAACTATTTTAAAACCGACAAGATAATGACAAAATAGGAATGATGTAGCAATGACTAATATTGCTTGGGGCACATTTCTCTGCAGGCCTCACAAGAGTCAGGTGATCGAAGGTGCATTTCTATGAGAGCATTCATGAAAATTGGTCTGCATTCATGTCTGAAACAGGTTAGTGGAACCCATCCATTTCACCTGGATTCAGCTCATCTGATTCAAAATGTTGACAGCACAAGTAATAGTAGATGAACAAAGGTACTTTTAGGGCACAGTTCCTGAGAACTATTTTAGGATGAAAAAAGTTTGCACTCTGCGGAGTAAATCACCACTAACTATAAAAGGAGACTATAGCAAGTTGCTCAGATACAGATGCTTATACTTAGTCAGGTGCATGCTGTCCTTTCATTTAGAATTAAAGCGTCCCTAATTATGCCTAGCACACTTCATTTTAAAATAAGTTCAGGCAGTCTGAATGAAGGTCACTTTAATTTGGAGTTAAAATGTTTAAGTTGTTTAACCAATCTGAAATAATTAGGTTTTATTTAATCTGGATTAACTTCCTGTAATTTTTCTCTGTAGGTAATTTTAGTATGCCAAAAAAAAAAAAAAAAAGTTTGGTATTAGCACCTCCTGTAAATTCACACTCTGTTTTACTTGGCACAAAAATGTAGAGCTCTGAAAATGCAAAGAAGTCTGTATTTTTATTAAGAGTTGCTGGAGCTGAGTGAAAATATATAGTAAAAAAAAATTGGCATCCATACTGTTTATATCCTTTGGTCTCTGTGTCATTGTAGAGGCTATTTATTAACAGAGTAAATAAGGTAAGTTTTATGCAGATAGAGTGAAACCATAAAGAAGTCAGTAACCCTCAGGAAATGTGTTAGCATGACTATAAATCAAAAACACAGTGAGAAATCTGAGCTGCTTCTCTTACTGAAATAAGAACAAATCAGGACACATTTGGAGAGGGAAAATGTACAGAAGGAAACAGAGTTAACCATGCACTGCAAATGCAAAAAGCAAGGGCATGCACAGTGAGTACATAATAAGCACCTGGTTCCTCAACTCCCTGGAGTGTTTTCTCATAAAAGCCTTTCCAATTACCATAGTTTGACTGCTTGAGTAGAAGCATGAAAGAGGATTGCAGGATCAGATTCTATTTTACTTGCATATATCCTTGGATAGCTCCGATACCTGCCTCATTTACTTAGCTGTATTCTACCTGCTTCTTATATAAAATATCAAAGGCTGCTGATAGGTTAAAGAGGATGAAGAGCGGATCCTAAGATCTGCCTGAGGGGGGGTGTGTGGGGGAAAGTTTTTAGACTTCTTCTGTGGGAGAGCTAATGTGCATGTACATTTATTATGTATCTGCTGCATGTGCATATTTAGGGTCAATTCTGCAGGATGCAAAGCTCTTCTCTGAGCATGGGGCAGCTGCTCAGCTGGTATCTTTGTTATACACAGATTACAGGGCCAAATGTGACCGTCAGGGTCTGCTGAAAAATTCCCTGCAAATATCTTGACCAAGCGATTGGAAACAAAGAGGGTGAGTGACTGGCCTCAGTTGTGTGTCTTCATTTCCTGGTTCATGCTGGCAGGGCAAAGCCTCTGCTCTGCTCTGGCTGCCCTTGGGGTTAGGGCAGGATGGCTGGGTTACTAAAGCTGAAGGTCTTTCCTTGGCCCTCCTTGGAGATAAAGGAAGGAAGAATTAGAGAGGAAAGATAACTGAGTCCACAGGCTTACCCAACATCAAAAAAGTAAATCCTGACTATAGTCCAAGCAGTGATGAACACAGATGGGGCACCTGACAAGAGAAGAGATGGTGTTACTGTCAGAAATAATTGCCAATGTTTTTGGGGCTGTTATCCCCCACTCTCCATCCCTCCTGAGTGGAACAGGTGATGCCTTCCCTCAAGAGTGGGCAAATGCTTCACATTTTCAATGCTCACAGCAAACAAGCAACATGTTGCCTTTCTCTCCCACTGGCCATATAAGATGAGTTTCCCACAACTGCTCCCTAGCAGATTTATCTTCCTGTTGAAGTGCCTATAAAAAAAACTTCTGATGGTGAAATGCAAGGAATAGGAATCACTTCAGACATCTACAATAGGGACACCTGTATCTAAGCCAGTCACCACAGACATTCTTCAACATCAGCAGGGAGATATATGTACTTCTAACACACAGGACATCTGAGCTACTTCAGATGTTTGCTTTAGGACAAGAAATATTCTCTTGGACTCCCTTGCTTGTATTGCCTGGATCTCCACTGACAATAAAGGGAGCCTGGAGTGACAAGTTCACATATAGATATCTGTAGCTGGCCAGATGAAACTGCCTCTGCTCCTCACTGCACGACCTTCTGCCTGACTAGGGTGGTCTTGTTCTATCCTTGTGGTTCATCTTTTCTCTGTCTTTTGTCTTTGATTAGATTTAGATTGGAAATAATACAGGAAGGATGCGTTGCTTTGTTCTGCGAGAGTCACAGTATTGTGCACCTTTTGTTACCAGTGTTTTCTGAGTTCAATGGTAATCAAACCAGTAAGAACTGTAATGAGCGTGTCCAAATTATTAATGCCCGCACGATCCATTTCAGGTCCATCACTGGTGCTCTTTGCAAATGATGGATGACCGAAAGGCCAAAAGATCCTTCAAGTACCTGTAATGTTCTTGACTTGCCTTTCCTCAACCAAGCAACCTCAGAATACATTTACATTTTCTTTAAAACCTACCAGCTCAACTGTGCTGAAAGAAAGGGTATCTGTGCATAAGGAAGGTTTAAAGAAGGTATAACCTGATTAACTGCATCTGAAACAACTTCCCTTTCCCTTTCCCTTTCCCTTTCCCTTTCCCTTTCCCTTTCCCTTTCCCTTTCCCTTTCCCTTTCTCTTTCCCTTT